TCCTCACAAGTCACCTCCCAAATTCTGAGACCCTCTTCCATTTGGGTCATCGATCACAAATTACCTACTTTCGGTCGTTAATCTTCTTCTCCAACATCATCTGCTGTCAGCCCCCACTATCATCTAAAGATTCTGATATGGCTCTGTCGAGTTCGCATGGCGAATGCATCTCATCTTTTCTTCAACATACAATACACACTTTCAACTTAGTTTTGAGTCAATACTATAACTGTAATATAGTCCAGTGGTATACTACGGTAGTATTACTATCGAAATACCCAATGTTCATTTGACAGTCCTATCATCCCTTTTTCCATGTCTGTTCCTCCTCCAACGAAAAGGGCCAGGAGAGGCTCCAGAAGTACGACTCGCAGAATCCTTCGGTCTATGACGAAAGCCCTGTATTCACAGCACCTCCTTAACCAGCTTGAAGTAACCTACGAATATGACCTGTACATTCTCAGACCGGTGATTACCGTTCCCATCAAATATGGTTACCCTTATGCAGGGTCGTCCAGGGATTCACTATCGGCATCAACTTCGAACTGTACATCAGGTCTAACTCCCTCAGAGCATGTATGCTGGGCAACCACTACCTACTTCCATGTCAAAGGCCATCCGATCTTACCTACCATGCTGCAAGGAACTACTGCGATACATAGGGTTGCTCTAGAAGACCTACGACTTCTCCGTGAACACAATTTGGATGTCCTCGCCTCTCGGTTCCCATGCTACCCTACTACAGACGCCAAGATTAATCACTGGAGATGTGACAACATTCAGTTCATGATAGACCTCACTCATTACATCGACAAAGACATTGTGCACAGCCTTGAGCATGGTTTCCCTCTCACTGGCAATATTCCTTGCGGTGGTCTTTTTGAAGATGCCCCACACCCAAAAATTGCAAAATTACATCCATCTGATCTCAAATCGTCTTCACGAGATATTGAACGACTCCTTCAATACCTTCGAGGCCCTATCAATGCCGTAGTCGATCTCCGAGCTGCTGTGGCTCAAGATGTGGTGGACGAAGCTCTCAAACTACGTGCTCTTGGCCCCCTACCCATAGATCACACTTTCGACTCGGACTTCTTCGTCTCGCCCATCTTCGGTATCCAACAGTCAGACAAGATCCGCCTAATAAGTAATTATGCGTTCCGTTCTCACGGCGTTCGTCTCAATGATGCTGCGACTGTGATGCACAAAGTCTCCATGCCCAGAATGTCTCATGTAGCCGAAGTTGTTCGTCTCTTAGGCCTCGGGCCGAAACATATATCCCGTACCGATCACGAGTCCGCCTACCGACAACTAAAGGTTCTACCCGAAGACCAGGTACGAGCTACAGGCCTCTATATGGACTCATCAATGGTACCACATTTCGTGGTGCCGTTGGTGTGTCCGTTTGGTGCGGTTGCAAGCGTCACCAATTATCTCCGCTGTTCTGAGATGCATTGCCACTTCATCAGATCCATAGGTTTCTGCAATGCCCTAGCGTATATGGATGATTGTTTTCCCGTTGAATATCCTAGTCTCAGCACTTCAGCAGTCACTTTCATCAACTTCATCAACGAGAGAATCACCGGAGGCATCATTAAACACTCCAAAGATGTGGCCCCTTCAACGACCAATGCACTTCTTGGCTTCAACGTCGACCTATCTCAGGGAGGATTCATCGTCAGCTTAACAGACCAACGTCGAGCTAAGATACTCTTGGATCTATCGATGGCTACACGAGACCATTCCCTCATCTCATCGAAGATGGCCGGCAAACTCAGCTTCGCTTGCGAAGCTCTCTATGGTAGGGTTGGTCGCGGCTATGTACGAACCTTGATACGCCAATCCAGAGGGTTTCAAGTTGATACTGCTTCTGTCGACAATGCGCTTGCAGCTCTCATCGAACTCTTCACTATTCGTTCGGTACCAAAAGACCTAGTGGACGAGCTACACTCCGACTCACCGCCAGTCGTGTGCTATTCAGACGCTTCAGGTGACGGACGACTGGGAATCTTCATACCGTCTATGTTCAACGTCCCAGGTTGCTGGGGAACCATCAAGGTTCCCTACTCTGAAGGCATCCACATTAATATGCTGGAGTTCCTAGCCGCTGCCATCACAGTCGACGTTGCAGCGAGAAGGTTCTGCGGGAAACTCATAATTCTATTCACAGACAACACAACAGTTGAGTATCTAGTCCACAAAGGCTCTAGCTCCTCCCAGATCATGAATGAGGCTGTAGCCAAGTTCTGGATTCATTTAGCCTTCTCTGGAGTTTACCATCTACTCACATTCCATGTACCTTCAACTTCCAACCCAGCTGACCCCATTAGTAGAGATACCTTCTCCGTCAGTTGGTTACTGGGTTCTGAACAAATCAACTTATCTTTACCGAATTGGTGGGCATCTGTACAACACCATCAATTTACCATTACATAACATCTTGATCTTAACAAAACTACATTAATTTCACTTCACTAGATCAGAAACCGTTTCCATTTTCTACACGCTTGCGTTTCGTCCTTCCATATTAATCTACGTCTGTCATGCAGTACCCGCCTTCCTCTAAATGGCTTTCTTCTTTGAAATCCAACTAGTGTGCGGACATGCACTACGCTACCCACAGAGACTCCTCAATGCTATCAGTGATAGTAACGTCACGTCATGGAAAGAACTATTTGATTGGCAACCTACCCATCTCCTACCTGGTACTCTGGTCAAGCTACACATGCTGCGGGCATTCCCCGAAGCACGTGCGGTTCTGTTCGTTCTGAACCTCAACTTCATAGAACCCTGCTTACATCGCTACATAACAGCTCACCTGTCCGCCAGTACATGGATCACTTATAGATCCTGTGTCAACAAGTTCTTACATTGGCATTGGCATCATTTCCCTCTAAAACCGGCTATTCCAACCACCGCAGACGCGGTTAGGCGCTTTATGATAACGACCAAAGGTCATCCGCACTACATCGCAGCTCTCAAGAAGTTACATGAACTGCTGGAGCTACCAGTCTCGTTCTCAGACAGCCTAACCCTGTCTGTGGTACATGGTATTCGACAAGAAGAGGCGTCCCACAGGAAACAGCGAGCTTTCCTACGCTTGAACATTCTACAGTCAGTCGTCCAACAAGCACATTCGCTCGGGCTCCACTTATTTGCCGCTTATCTAGTAATCGCCTATGCTTTCAGCTTACGTGTGCCTTCCGAACTACTCAACGTCAACAATCGAACTATCACAGTCCTCGACAACTCCTGTTATCTATCGTTGTGTCGAAGGAAAAACAACAAGAGCATAAGCACACTTCACAGGGTATGCACTTGCTCAACTTGGGGACCCATGCTATGTCCAGTGGAAGCTTGTTCTTTCACGATCAGCGCACAAACCACAATGCATCCGAGCTCCTTCAATCGCATGCTGCAGCGATGTCTAAAATTGTGCGGAGTGCCTAAGCCCACCTCTTTCAGTTCTCACGCCCTGAGGAGAGGTAGGACAGATGACCTCTACAAGGCTGGTGCCTCTGATGCTTTGATCGATCTATCGGGCGGCTGGTCATGCGCCAACTCTAAGCGCTTCTACATTTCAAAACATCCTTATCATTATCTCTCGACCTATTGTGTTTGACAATCAATTTTCAAACATTTCTTCTTCGTGCATCGGAATATTCTACTTCACTCTCGTGTCTACATATAGTGTGAAGCATACAGCGATCGCTACACATTCTGCGAAAGGAGCATTCCACCACACCACACATGCAACTAGGGCTTCGCGACCTGCCTTCTATCGATTCCCAGCAAACGTTATCGCCAAACATGACCAGCATACCGCACGAATACAGGTCAAGGGGAAAATTCGGCGGCTGCCCGTTGAGCGGAGCCCCTCTTGAGAGAGGGCTACTTCAACTTAGAATCTATATCATCTCGTTGGGGAAATATAAATTCTAGTTTCAGTCTCAATTTCACGCTAGGACTCGGACCATGGCGGCGATCGGTTCGAGCCTCTCCCCAACGATCGTGGTAAGGAGCGAGAGCCCTCATGGTCCTAGGTGGCGTGATCGATGATATTGTATGATCACTTGACCGAAGGACGAGTGGGATACGATATGAGATCACCTTGCGCTCACCGTGGGCGAGCGCAACAGAAATATAGCTTAACGTGCAGAACGGGGTCTTATCAACCGTATCGTAAGCTAAGCAACTTTCTAAACCCTTCCCACCCTCCCGAAGGAAGGGGAAATATAAATTCTAGTTTCAGTCTCAATTTCACGCTAGGACTCGGACCATGGCGGCGATCGGTTCGAGCCTCTCCCTTGCTGATACTGTTGGCATTGACACAGCTGGTTAGTCCATATCGTCATTGCCTCTCTCCCTATCTTCATTAAGAACATACGGTAGTGAGGCAGAACCTGTTCGAACCCTTTCAAGGAAGTGTTACTTCTTCCCTTGTTCTTCTCCCCAAGGCGTCTGGTTGTACATGCGTGGCACGCATGATGTGTGACGCATCTCGGGACTATCCTGTCAAGAGGGTAGCAGGAGATGGACCCTCCACCAGACATTGTATATGACTTTGATGACGCGTCGCTTAGAGTTACTTGAGCCCGTGCGCCCCAAGGAATGTTGTACGCATTGAGAGGAACATCTTGCTCACTTCCTCTTCAGTTGTAACGTTCGAGCTAGCATTTTGTCCATCATGGCTAGTATTTCAGCACTGCTGCTTTTTGCAGGACTGCTCCTTGGGTCCAATGCTCAGCCTATCGGTACGTATCACTATGAAGAGAAGCAGAGTCCTACCGGAGATTTTTTCTCTCTTATATTCACTGTGGACGCGGACAGGCGTGTGTCTATGTTCTTCTACTGCGCAGCTGACCAACACTTTTCGGACGGAGCGCTTCCACTCAAAAAACAAGAGGGGAGCCAAGACATCTACAGCATCGACTACAGCGGAACTTGTACCGGAACTGTCGAATGGTGGTATAACAAGGTGAGATCAACATGCCCATCAGGCGGTAAGCCTCCGCATTTCTTTCCCTATCATGGGAAGATCGTGAAGGGCGACCTCGAGACGTTAGAATTCTTATCACCAAATGAGGTCTTGACTAAGTTCGAGGGCCGTACTCTCTCCTTCTCCAAAATAGGACAGTATCTCACACCAGCTGTCTATCACTTCTCTTCCCATACCTTCGATATTCTATATGAGGTCTACGGAATTAATTCTCCGCAGCCCAACGATGCCAATATATGGATGAGCGTGAGGTGCAAGAACCAGCCGCTTCATGGACGCTTCCAAAGCGAGTTCCAGGTCTCGCGTACTTCTAGTGACACCTCAATATACGTGGATAAAGATTATGAGATCTTCGTGGCCTCTGTACGTCGCCTGAACCAACTCAAGTTCTGGTTGAGGAGAAGATGTGGTATAACTACTAGCCACGACGATTTCACTAAAGTACGTCAGGAGGAGGGTGGTAGATTTGCTCCAGAGGTTGTGGTCACTGTTCTGAATGGTGAAGAGATCTATCTTAGGAAACTTCCGTGAGGGGGAGTTAAACCTAATTTCAGAGGCTGGTGGTTGTCAGCGGTACTAGATGATCAACATTTCACTATGACGGATCAGTGGTCTTGATCGCTAGTAGTCTCAAGATAGTAGTCTCAGATCAAGTCTTGGTGGCTTGAGTACTTCGACGATCTGACGATAAGTTGGAGCCGCCTCCAAGTGCAACCTTTTATTTACTTCTATGTTCTTTGAACTTAACGGTGTTAAGTTCATACTCTTCTTTTTTGCTGTGCGTTGGTGGTTCGAGTCGGTACTTTCTTATTGATAGTCGATCTCACGTACAGCACTTGAAGTGCATCACCTCAGGTGATCGATGATAGATGAGCTTGAGGGCTCCGAACTTATAGAGGATCTAGGATATTCTTTGTTGACAGCATCGGAATATGATTGGAGTTCAAAAATTGAACTCAGGTAGCAGGCAGTAAGCATCTTCTGATGCCTCACTCATCATTCAGCTTTGAGTTATTTTAAATAACTTATTTACCAGTGGTTATTGGCTAGACCAAGAACACACTAGACTGTAGCCCACAGTGGTCATCAACACCCATTATTTGTTTTGCGATGCATTGTACGTCCTAAGCTAGGACTCCTAACAGTGATCGAGTGTACAATGTGTATCATTTCTGAGTCAGTAGCGAGAACAGCAACGTGTCACCACCACCACCGTATAGCCACAAGGTGGTCGGCGTTATAGACTATAAATTGTCTTAAAAAGCGTATACAGTCCGCAGACTCCCCAAGGAATAGTACGAGAGAGTGATGGTTGAGACAAAATTTCAACTAAGTGCCGCTGCTGTAGTTACCACTACGACTAGGCTGACTCAGTAAGGGAGGCAACCCCCTGGTTCATGATTATAGAGCCTCCATGAGCGTCGGAGTACAGCTATTGCGTGTCCTGGCGCGAGAAGCTGAACTCAACCTCTCAGTGAAGGAAAGGTGTAAAGCGAGTAAGAGTCAGTAATGGAATGATATCGTAATAACAAGTTCAACGCCTTAGGAGCGCCACTGCAGAGCATCCCATGTAGCAATACCTTGTGGAGAACGATAGATAATGTTGCATTGTGTTTTACTATTACATTTAACGGGAATATGATAATGAATGACGCCCCCAATACATTCTACTACTTCCATCGTAACAGGATGCTCCACCAGAGTCGCGTACGATTCCAAGCACAGCTGGAAGCTAACTCAAGTGAGAGTTCTCGACCTTGGCTAGGGGGAGATGTGAAGGGCATCGCCATGACTTGTGAGACATTTTTTGGCGCCCGAAAGGAACGACGCCTATTTACGAACTCCGAAGCAAC